AAAATATCATCAAATGTGATAGCATTAACCCTAACATTCTTCTTTCTATCCTTATTGGCCTGAGTCTTTTCTAAGATTACTGCTCGCATCCCTCCTTTGAGTCGGAAATCTACCTTGTTCCAATTCATATCACAAATGTGACCATTAACGTTTTTCTTGACAATCCCTTCTTCAAGCTCCTTTTCTAGTGTTGGGCACCGGGTTAGAGTGCGACCCTTCTTATCACAATAATAACATCGTAAGGGGTCATCTCTCCTTTGCCAGTTTCGACTCCTGTTATCATTTATCCAATCTCGGTCTCGCTTCCTATCTCATTTCTTTCTTCTTTCCTTTCTTCTTCGCTTAGTGTCATCATCATCACTACTTTCGCTCTCACTCTCACTTTTTTCCTTTTGCTTCTCCTTCTTCCTTTCTTCTTTTTCTTCTTCGGACCCAACTAGGGTTTGTGTTGCTGAAGCAGGAAGGGTCAACTTCTCGAAGGTACCAAGTGTAACACGAAGACCAAGAACCTCATCGACCTTCAAGGTTCCTCTCGCAACTGCCTCAATGTTTCTCTCTCTCGCATTAGTTATTGTTTTCATCTGTTACAGGCACCACTTTTGGTTTGACACCGAAGGTAACTCATGAATCATCCTAACCACTTCTTCTCACTTAAGAGGATGATGGCAGCTCGACTTACCACACTCTTCCTTTCATCCTCTGTGAAGTTTGTAAGCAGGAAATGACACTTATGTGCCTCGTCCAAGAAGGGCACTCTCCGCACAACCCTCTCAAAATCGTCCAGGAATTGGTCGAGGGTAGCGTATTTGGAGCGCCGTTCATCCAACAAATTTCGCATGGTTGTTGGGACGTCATACTTTGCATACTCTTCTAACATCTTTTGTCTAATGTTTGCTCATGTTGTCAGTCCTTGCGTCGTTTTAGTCACCGACACCCTCATCTTAGGCTTAACGTAGGCTAGCGGAGATTTCAACTTCTGCTTATCTGACCAACCGTGGCTCATCCCAATGACATCATAGCCCTCTAAAAACTCCCTAACTTTGGTCTCATCTAAGCAGGGTATGTTCTCCGGAGGTACTTTGGCTCTCAGAAGATCTAGTTGGAAGCGTATTTGGAGCGTCGTACATCCAACAAATTTTGCATGGTTGTTGGGACGTCATACTTTGCATACTCTTCCAACATTTTTTATCTAATGTTTGCCCATGTTGTCAGTCCTTGCGTCGTTTTTGTCACCGACACCCTCATCTTAGGCTTAACGTAGGCTAGCAGAGATTTCAACTTCAGCTTATCTGACCAACCGTGACTCATCCCAATGACATCATAGTCCTCTAAAAACTCCCTAACTTTGGTCTAATCAAAGCAGGGTATGTTCTCCGGACGTACTTTGGCTCTCCGAAGATCTAGTCGGACGTTCATAGTGTTCATTCCGGTCTTCACAGCCTGTATTTTGTTCAGCATCTCTCGAAGAACCGTGATAGTCATCACTTTTGTGTCCCCTTCGAAGGAACTGACACGCCTCTGCCATGCATTCGGTCCTTTGATCATCCTGTTTAACTTACTGGTTAAACTCCTATTTTTTTCCTGGACCTTTTCTCTCTCAGGATTGCGTTTATAATCGACTCTCAATTTTTACCGACGGTAAAACTTTCAGACAACAGTGGTTCCAGAATCCTATCAAACACAATTGGCGTCAAGTTACTAACTACTTTTGTCCCTTTTCTCTCTAATTCTTCTTTTTTTGGTCAATTATATTACTAATCCAGTTTCAAAAGACTCACGATCTGTCCCTCTTTCCCTCAATGAAGGGACAGAGGGTCGGATATCGTACTCACTAGTGTCGAGGAACTTTACTATAAGGATATACATCTTCCCAAGGGCATGCTTCTCCTCCAAGGATATGCAACGTTCTATCTTCTAGGGAAAAGCTCCTTCACAGGTAAAAGAAACTGGGGCGTCTAGCGCTGCGGTGATTGTAGGGCAGTAACCAGACATTGCCTAATACCAAATTCCCTAACGACCCTCATGATTGTTCTTCGCCACCTCAATCCTTTTCCATCTTCGATCCGCCTAATCCTTTTTAGTGTCTACTAAGTCTCTCAGCCTTGCCTTTTCCGGGCATCCTCTTGCAATAGTTTGTCATCAACACTAATACTGCACTATTTCCTATCTTTTATAACAACATTAGGGATAGGCTCCCGGTTCTCATTGTTGACGAAGTTATTTGGAATTGAGAAATTTTCATACTCGGTGGGCTCCACACTCCAGACAACTTTCTTACCTTCCTTCTTGAGTCCGTCCCTGTATTTATAGATGCGACTGAGTGCCCACTCGTGACACCCCGTATATTGCCGCCAAATCTTCCTAGTCATTAAAGTGTATATTCGTATGTTATACTCATCGGTCTCTATGAAGTGAGTTACTAACACGTACACCTTCTCCTCTGCCTCAGGAATGGCTAGGGCGTTGTATCTCTCACTTTCATAAGGAAACGCTCCTTCTACCGTGAAGGGTTTCAAATCCTGTATTAAGCGTGAGATGACCGAGGAGTTTTTATCAGGTAGCGTCCTTCCTTCAACCCTCTCCCAAATATGTTTACTTCCTAGGAAGCTAGCATGACCCTAAGCCATAACAAAATCTCTTCCATTGTCAGGTGAGGGTTCAATCATGCAAATTTTGAAGTAGTCTCCTTACTCTTAAGTGATGAATGTACACTCTTCTTAGGCACTCTAAATAACCCTTTTCTTATTTTATTCCTTCCCGGGCATAGACCCTCACATCAAGCCCGTTGGTCTTAAAGAATCTAACTACTGAAACATAGACTACGAGACGCCCTTCCTTACAGACGTCATGCCTTAGTATTTTGAAAGGATTGTCAGTTTTAGTCACTTAATCTAACCATCCTCTACCAATGGTTACATTCTACTATCATTGCCTTGGGCTGCCTCTAGTGCCTCCAGCCAGACTATCTACAAGTTGTTGTCCAGGTAAGATGGTCTCTGCTATTGCATGTAAGATCACTCTTCTGCCATCCGAACTCTTGCAGTCTAGCAGATGTGTAATCTTGGTCTGATCCGTAATTACTCTAAAAGCAGCCGCTCGCATAAGCTCAAGATAGTGTTCTACCACTATGAATCCCCCGTAGTCGCGGTCGCCGCGGGCACAACCATGGACCGCAGTCTCGACCGCGAGGCCGTGGTCATGACTGCAGTCCGCGGTCATGAAAAAAAAAAAAAAAAAAATCAGAAACATTTGAAAAAAATATATGTTATGCCAAACAATAAACTGAACAACTTTTGTCTTGGGGTCATATCAAACTTCTTTACCAAATTTGAGATAAAAAACAAAAAAAACTTTTTATTTTTCCTACAAAAAAAAAAAAGTGAAGAACTTTTGCTTGAGGGATTTCTGTTTTTTCATTTTTTCTCTATACTAATAAAAGTTACAAAGGTCCCTGCGACATGCTTGGTCGCGGGCCCAAGGGAAACCCGTGGAAGGGCAGAACCGGCCAGGCGAACCGACGTAGGGGCGAGGCCGAGGTGGAGGAGGGGGAACTGGCGCAAGGGCGAGTTCCAGGCCAAGGGGGCGGACGCGGGCGGGCCCGGGGCAAGGGAATTAGGGCACGCCGTTTCGGGGCAGTACCGAGCGCAGCTGTGTGTGACTGCGAAAGTGCGGTGTGGTACCAAGCGCCGCCGTGTGTGGGCTTGTGGGGAGTGTGGTGCGTCGACAGTGGATTTTTGTTTTTTTTCTTAGCGCGGGGGGGAGAGGAGGTTATCGGAGCGTTCGTTGCTTCGCATCCACGGTGGGGACAGGTCGGGGTGCACATCGCGTGGGGCTGTGGGGAGTGCGGTGCGTGGGCGGTGGCGCGACAGCGGGGTGGCAGCGAGGTGCGGACTGCAAGAGTGTCGTGCACGGACTGTGGTGCTGGCTATGGTGGGATCTTTGTTACGTTGTTTGGCGGAGGAGGAGCGGGAGGAGAAGCGGGAGGAGTAGCGGGAGGAGCGGGGGGAGCGGGAAGAGGGATGGGAAAAGGAGCGGGAAAAAGAGGACCGGGAGCAGGCGCGGGAGAAGGAGCGGGAGGGGAAATGTGAAGGGACGGAGGAGCCGCGGGAGGAGGAGCTGGAGAAGGAGCGGCAAGGGAAACGGGGAGGGGGTTAGGAGCAGAAGGAGCACGAGGAGAAACGGGAAGGGGTGGAGGAAGCGCGGGAGGAGGGGCGG